GAGCCATCCGCGCCGCCCTTGAAGGCAGAGCCAGCTGGGCAGCCCTTGGGTTTTAAATAACAATTCTCTCTGCTCAGAGGCAGCCCCACCCACCCCGTGGGGCCGGCCTGGGGGCTCAGCCCGGAGAAGTAACCCTCCCAGAGGGGGCGCTGCTGGGCTCCGCAGGGGACGCACGTGTGTGGGCTGGGCGAGGGCCCAGGACAGCCTGGCCGGTTGCTGTTTCCTGCAGCCAGAGTGGCCCGACTTCAGCTCCCTCCAAGGGGAGGCTGCCCCCACGCTCGCCCTCCCTGGCGTCTGCCCCAGGCTCCCTCCCCTGCCCCAGTCCCAGCCAGAGGCTAGGGGAGCCCTCTGCCTGCGCAGGTCTGTAAGGGCCCCGCTGCTCCCAGCTCAGCCTTCCCCCTGCGTCCTTGCAGAGCTCGCCGTTCCTCACCTGCAGGTCGGGTGGGAGGGTTGAGGGAGCCAGCACGTGTCCCAGCCTCTCTGTGTCCCATCACGGCACCACCTGGGCAGGTGTGGGTGCCCAGAGGCGCTGGTGGCCAGCCTTGCTCCCTCATGGTGGCCTTGCCCCCTCATGGTGGCCTTGCCAGTGGTCAGCACCGTGGACAGCTCCGTCCCCGCACCGCTGGCCGGAGCCTGCCACACGGGGGTCATCCCCATCCCACAGGTGGGGGCACACACATCTACAGCCAGCAGACCCCACCATACCTGGGGCTGTGCCCAAGCCCAGCTCTGCGGTGAGGCTGGATCCTCTGGGCCGTCACCCGCTGCCAGTGCCTCCAGCCCGGCTCCTGGCCTCCCCAACGCCCCCCACCCCACCCCCAGTCACATGCCCGAAGCTGCAGCCCCCACCCCGCCCCGAGGAGGGCTCAGATGGGATGCAGGCCAGGGCACGAGAGCCCTGTCCTGTCTGGGATGCTTAGCGCTGTCACCCAGGCCCCACTCTCAGCCAGGAGCATCCAGAATGGGTGGTTTATAATTTTTAGACAGAAGCTCTTGTTTTTGGTGGAAGGTACAAAGAGGGATGGGGTGGGGGTCAGAGAGGAGCCCTGTGTTTGCCCTAAGCTGACCGGACCCCCATTGGGGGGTTGTCATTCCAGCCTGGGGGCTCTCCTGGCCTGCTTAGCCACCACGGGCGAGGCCCAGAGGGACCTTAGACACCAGCGGGAGGCCTGGGCCAGAGCCCCGGGCGCGCCCACCCCTCGGGGACCCCGCGTCTGCTCCTGCTATTGGGCTGGGAGCTGCCCATAATTGTGGTCTCTTGCCGGCCCGGCTTCATGCACGGTGTGTGCTTCCCGGTGGGTTAGTGAGAGCGGAGCAGCGTCCCCCATCCCCACCCCTGTAGCCAGGGCTGCCTGCTGGTGGGGCCGGCGTGAGTGAGTACACATGGGGGGTCTCAGGTCCCATCCGGCCTGAGTCTGGGGTGGGGGGTCCCTGCCAGGGTCAAGGCCAGATGTCGAGGAGGCTCCTGGGCCCGGGGGGTGCGGGGCCCCATGTGATGCCCAGTTTTGAGTGGGGCAGGGCCCCCAGGGCTACCAGCCCGTAGGCATCAGTCCCCAGGTGGTCTCCCAAAGCCCAGGTTGCTGTAGGTCCAGGGGTTGGTCAGCCATGTGTGGGGGCCGCCCGCCCGCGGCCCGGCCCTGGACACGTGCTCCCGTTTCATCTGGAGATGACCCAGAGGCTCAAGAGTCCCGGGGGCTGGAGCCACAGCGCCCTCGGCGGCTGCGCTGGCTCACCCCTGTCCCCCGAGGCCAAGAGCCGTCCCCGGATTCATCACCGCCTGCCCTCTTCTGCCTCTTCCTCCTGTCTCAATCGATTTTTGTAATAACGAGCAATTATGGAGTTCAATAAAAGCTCCAGCGGTCGAGGGGAGGGGGCCAGGGAGCGGGCCGGCAGGGGCTCCGGGGACTGCACC